CCCATGAGCTGATTCGCTACAGATTGGTGGAGGAAATGCGGGCATGATAAAACGTGTGCGTGACTTGAGATACGCTGCTGTGTCCCTATTTGCTGGCTTGTTTAAATGCAGGAAATTAACGTTCTTAGAATTGACAGACAGTTGACCCTGAGAGGTCAGCTAAATATCTACAGCGGATCTAAATATTTATAATTAATTATAACTAGTTATGATTCATTATTAATATTTCCCATGAGCTGATTCGCTACATTCTGAAGGACTAGAAATTAATTCTGAAATCCAACAGCTACAAAATATCAACAACTTTGGGGGCTCCATTCACTAAAGTATGCTAACTGGTTTGCTAAACCTGACTGGGTTTCCCACAGCTTACTGAAAAACTGCAATTACGAGGTGGAGTTGGGCTTCACCTAATTGGCTAGCTACTGTGAGTAGGCCTGAGCACCTACATTAGCCATCACACCAGGCTTTAAGAACCTCAACATAACGTTTTTTCCATCAGTAAAGCGATGGCCAATCACGGTTGTGCTAAATGCACAATTTAGGAATTGGCTCCCTTTCAAATGATGTGTTTGAATTTGAATTGAATTGATCACAACACAGGAAGCTGAATTAGAATTACAGGAAGAGTAATTAAATGAATTACAGTACAAAAAGATTCACCACAAGTTATCTATCCATCTATCTCTGGGACGGCTTTTGTCAAATCAACATTCATTTGCATTTATGTGTGTTGTGCCAAACCTTGCTTTTCTAGTTAAAAATGTATATGAATTTCTTTGAACTTCATTCATTATTATTATCTGAATGTCCTTATTAATTTCATTAAGATTCCAATTCTACTTCCTTACATTCAGTTTTTTTTTATTAGTATTATTATTATTTTATTTAAACATTAGACAGGCTAAGGGAACTGTGTGTTGTTTCACCCTAAATAGTGACTTCCATAGCTTACAACAGTTTTTGGCATCAATCTTGAAACAAATTTGTCCAATTAAACAGAACAGATATCAGTTTCACCACACATTATCCAAATATTCCAATATCAGTATTCGTCAGCATGTATTTGTTTAAAGTTCTCTCTCTATAAAAATAATTACACTAATCAAACCTGCCGCAACCAAATCTGTCAAAATCAGCCAGCGCAATGACACGCTACAGGCAAAATATCACCGGCAGTTTTTATACAGGCTTGCATCATATTCAAACCACACAGGGCTCATGGGTCAATGCTGTTGGCAGCTGTTTGAGACCGTTAGGATTCTGCTCACGATGTCTGAGGGGTCTAGAGGCTAACCATCAATTGCCCCGCGACACGTGTTTTTTTTCTTCACCATGGAGCTCAATTCCTCTGCTGTGCAGATCTAATTTATGGCAAATATATTCAGCCGAGAGAGCTGCATTTGCATCAAACTGAATAATAAAAGAATAAAGAAAGCAGAAAGGAACAAACAAAATGACACCAGAAACTACACAGGCACTACAAATATGTAGCACTGCAGGATACAAGGAGACATGCAGAGTGAAGAGAGCTATTACTGTATGACAAAACCTTGTGGAAATCCTCCAGTCTAAAGACAAGATCAAAGACGAGTACAACAATACAGCTGCAATTCAAAACAGACAAACCCACAGGCCTCACAACAACAGGACACTTCTTCTGCACAGACTGAGAATTGGTGTCTAGGCTTATTTGAAAACTCAAGCATAATGAATTTAAAAAGGACAACTGGGGTTGGAGTAAATCTGGATCTCAAGTCTTCTTTTCTTTCAGGGAACCACGTACTGTATGTGAATGACACTTATAACCCAGAAACACTCAAACTTCTCAACTGCCACTCTGATGTGAAGTACAAAAGAGCCTCAGCAACTGCTCCTTGTTGCTTTTAATGATTCGAACAATGGACAACTTTAAACATTTTCAACTTTTTAACTTTAAACATGCCCATTTTTTCTATTTTGTGGAGCACAATGACTGCACGGGATCACTAGCTGACTAGCAGTAGTTTCAGTTGAAAAAAAAAAGATATAGAACATAATAAAATAAAAAAGGATAAATAGTTTGTGACATACAATATGTGATAGGCAACTACAACAAAGTAGTTAAATGGCAATTTGGTCCTGGTTCAAATGGTTCAATGAATCGTTTTAGTGAATCAGCTCACTGAAAACCATTTGAATGAACAATTTAACTAAAATCAATCACAGTAGACCTTCTGAAAATATTTTAAATATAATTTATAAATATATACTTCTGTCATTTTTCAATGGGGCTGTTCAAACAGCTTTACATTTATCTAAACCCGTGACAGTAATGACACCCTAAAGTGCACTGGAAATAAATTGGCCCCTTCAAGCTTATAGAGGAGCTGGAGGCCCTGAAGAGAAAATTACTCCAGACGTCATCAAAGTAGCATGAATTTCAACCACAGTCTGAGGACACTGACTGAAGACAGGAGGTTTTTCTGGGAAGCGTGAGGTCCCTTTGATACACATCTCACTGAGGTGAATGGCTGGTCTGTTGGGCGAGCCAGACTTGCCACTTGTTTGACTAAAGCTTTATGAGAGATTCAGACAGACCTGAGGTATGAAGGCAGGTAAAGTATGTGTGTGTGTTTGAGCGCATGTACATGTTTTGTGTTTGGTAAACAAAAGTTTACAGTCGTGGACGTCCTTGCAGTCACAGAGCCAAACTCCAGTGAGAATCAAACGCAAACACAACTAACAAGAAAGCACACAGACAAACAAACCCACCCTTCTCATCAGTCACACAAAGCTCTACCACAACCCTGAAAGAGTGTACACAGAGATCTCCACAGTCCCTCTCCGGCAGATACTAGGCCTGTTTCACACAACACACACAAGCAATAGCAGTTTCTTCTGTGCAACAGAAGTAATTTCTAGTTTATTACATTGAATATTGATTTTAACAATGCCCATAAATTATAATATTTTGTCAGGGTTTGGTCATTGAAACTATTAAAAACGTAATCAAATTTACATTCACTTATATCCAAATGGCAATCTACATCATAATGGATCCCAAACAATAAACTGATAAAATAAAATAAAAAGTATTTATTTTCCAGTTAAAACATGATAAAATAAAATAAATTTGCTTGAGCAGCAACCCTTCATAAGAAGTTAGGACCTATTTTAAGAGAATGTACACTACTGTTCAAAAGTGTGGCGTTGGTTAGATTTTTTAAATGCAGCCGTGGAAAAGTTTAATGTATAATATAATGTTTATGAAAAGCCCCTTATGCTCACCAAGGCTGTATTTATTTAATAAAAATATAGTAAAAATTATAATACTGTGAAATATTATTACAATTTAAAATAACCGTTTTCAATTGTAATATATTTTAAAATGTAATTTATTCCTGTGATGGCAAAGCTGAATTTTCAGCATCATTACTCCAGTCTTCTGTGTCACATGATCCTTCAGAAATCATTATGATATGCTGATTTGCTGCTCAAGAAACATTTCTTACTATCACAGTTGAAAACCATGCTCCTTAATATTTTTGTAGAAACCAAAAGAACATTTGATTTCTTTGTAAAGAACTGTCAATTTCTTGTTGTTTTTGTCAATTTAATGCATCCTTGCTGAAAAAAAAAGTATTAATAATAAAAAAAATTCTTACTGACCCCAAACCTTTGAATGGCAGTGTATCTTTAATATGTATAATGTCTTTCTACACTGGCAGATTTTTTAAGTATAAACAAATTTTAAACACAAGTGGCCAGTGCAGTAGGACAAAATAGTCATATTTGAATGCAGTAACCTGTTAATATGAGCGCTGAAAGGTGTTCTGAGGTGTGAAACAGGCTAGGAACTATACTCTCATTCCGGTGTAATAATCAAGGAACTTTGCTGCCATACCATGGGTGCGCAGCAGGCACAATGATGTTACGCAGCGCCTGAAAATAGTCCCAGCTAGGTAACTTCCAATAAGCCTATTATTGGAATGTTTGAAGAGTAAAGTTTTAAAGGAATAGTGGAGTGTTCCTTTAACCGAAGGAGAAAAAGATGAAGACAGTCAACAGGCAGCAAAAAGGGTAATACACAGTTTTTTTTTTTTTTCAAAATGCAAAATACAGCAGTGCTCTGTAAGTGGGTGCTCATTCATAGCACCATTTATTTCCATTCATCATTTAAGCTTCATCTGGCTCGGTTCACTTGCAGACGCTGGCAGAATCCTAATTTCACTCCAACAGTTGCTTCTGTAACTGTACTCCTCTCAACACAAGCCTGAAGTCTCTCTGAGAGCTAAAATACAAACACATAATTTCATATTCAAAAATGCTAGACAGAGCACAAGAAGGACCTCAAGGAGTGTTGTTAGCGCACAGGCTTGACTTTGTTATGTTCAGTTTTTATTTTCCTGCACATTCACATTTTCATATATCAGGCAAAAAAGGTTGAATTAGCAGAATATTTAAACACTTTACCGCACAGCTACAATTTTGGCAAAAGTGCTTCACTTAATAATTCTGTTTTAGCTAATTTGCATTTGCATGACTTTTTAAACTAGCAACTGACTAAAGTGAAAAAGCATAATCCTGGAAAGAGCACAAGTTTGCTTTGATATTAAATTAATGTTTGAAAAATGTCTTCTTTTTTTAATTACTGTGAAAATCATTGCACATACAGTAGCTTGCCCACTGACACATTTTACCCCACTCTCTCCTACCAAATGATAAAGTTGCAGTAAGCTTGAGAGGTCTGTCTTACCCCCAGGTTCTTTTGAAAACTGACACTGACTGCATGACAAAAGCTGAATGCAGTTTTGACCTAGTGCAACTCACTGTCAACATCACCTTCTGTGTGCAACTTATTGTCAGATGTGACTTATTTTATGGAAATTACAGTAGACATCTGACATATAAGTATATTTAGACAAACATGAACACAAGAACACACTCCTGCTCCATGAGACTAATGGGGGTCCGGTTATAGGGAAGCTTCCCAATTTTAAAAAGAAAACTCAACCTACCACTGTTTCGATTCTTGCGGTTGGATTTGCCGCCAAGCAGCATCTTCAGACTGTTCCTGAACATGACTGCACAGTTCTGGACCGGGCTATAGAGAGATCTGCAGAAAGAGAGAGAGGAAAAAATACAACAGTGTGAGAAGCAAGCAAAAAACCTTGAAGAAACTAATGGAAACACCATACACATGTCCTTTCAGTCATAGAAACAGTATCAATAAATAATAATAATAATAACAATACATTTGAAATATGCAATTTTAGCATAATATTTCTACTACTAATAAAAATGATGCTGCACAAACACTAAGCAACAAATGTACAGTACTTGATAACAGTTGCCACTATGTTTGAAGCTATAAATAAGATTTGTAACAACACACACAATCACTTCCTCCACTACTTTGCCTATCAACACTGATTCCCAAACCGTGTGATCTCTTTACAAACGCAACTCGACTGGTGATGTTCGCCGCACATCAGCTCTGAAGTCTAGACAAAGAGTTACTGATGGGATTTTTGGAAGCCTGTGATTATATGTTTCAGGTACACAGATCCTTCAGCCTGCTGGAACGCTGCAGCTGATAATGAGTTTCATTCGTGGAATTCGTAATTCATCACTGGATTATTTTAGGCCTCACTCAACACCCACACTGCGGAGGGATCACACCCTGATGCTGCTAATTACCGCTTCATGCATGAGCTGTGTGTTTGTGTGTGTTTATATGTGTGAAAGAGCACAGGATAGAAACACACTTTGTTCTGCTGCTGCAGAAGGTAATGTTGGCTGTGGATTTCAATGGAAGTACTTCTTTGATGGGTCTTTGTGCAGCTGAATTCACAGGTACGGTACGGTACGGCACGGGAACAGGAACGGAACGGAACGGAACGGAACGGGAACAGGAACGGAACGGAACGGAACGGAACGGAACGGAACTGGAACTGGAATGGGAACGGGAACGGGAACGGGAACAGGAACGGAATAGAATAGACTAGAACATAGAATGTTGAGTGCTGTCATCTAGTGGTTAGTCCAACCTCTCTGACAAAATGAGCTGGCATCCATCCAAAAGTCATGTAAGTTCAAATCTAGTTTGCAACATTTTCTGATCCTTTTTTTTTTTTTTTTTTACAAAAAGGCAAATTTCACAAAACTAGAAGAAAGAAGAAACAAGAGATTGAGAGAAGAAACAACAGAACTACAGATAAAAAGATAAAACAAACAAACAAACAGATTGATGCAACAGATAAAAAAATATAGAATAGATGACAGACAGACAGACAGACAGACAGACAGACAGACAAGATAGATAGACAGATAGATAGATAGATAGATAGATAGATGGATGAACTTTGCATCCCCTGCACTCCAGTATAGCATGTACTCGGTTTCTTCTTGGCAGAGCATTCTAGTATTAATCTGGGCCTCCACACCTTCAGAAGTGATCTTGGCTGAGTGTGTTTGTGTGTATATGCATGCATTTCAAATCAACATCCACGGGCAGATATTCTTCTTTTCTAGCACTCGATGTACCCTTTCGCTGAGCCAGAATTGCTACATGTTTACTGCTAATATGTTGCTGGGGCCATTTTTGACAGAAAAATAAATACAATTTTTAACCAAAGTTTTAACCATTGTTGTAATTTTTCCTGAGCTCATTCTGCATACTTGAAGCCCTGCCGCCCCCTCTCACTTCTGCTGCATCTGCCTGGTCATGAAAAAAGTCTCTTCACCTGCTTGAAGCCAATTGTGAAGGAGGAATGAAATGTTAAATGTTAACAATGCTGAACAACTGAGGTCAAGCTAATCAAGTCAAATAAAATACAACCAAATGCACCCCCCGCTATATTTTTTCCCTCTCAAAAAGTCAAATTATCTGAGATTCAAATATTAGACCTCTTACACTTTATGCAACAGTAATACCACTAGACCAGCTAACCTCACAGTTAAATGTAGATTTATTTACTGCATAATATGCTTGAAGCGTGAAGGGCACCAATTCTAGTAATTTTTTTTAATTCATTTAAAATTAATGTAGGTAGAAAGGAGTCAAGCCAAGATGGATTGAGAGCAAAAAGGGGCATGCAACAGCTTCTGAATAAAGATGAGAGATGAAGAAAAGGATGACCTTATCCTGAGGCTGTGCTTCTGTCAGCTGATGAAGAACGGAGAAGACGCAACTCAGTGTAGCGAGGTTTGCTGCTGTTTGCCGAGTGAACCGTGCCTAAGCATGAGAGTGACGAGACTAACACTATTCCCCAACGCAGTCCCTCATACTTGGACATGCGCTTTAATGAGGTCTGTAGAAAAGCTGACATACAAACTAATGAGAAACTTAGATTGAAAGTTGATCAAGTGAAAAATGCCATCTGCAATGGAGCCGTAGAAGGATCTATCACTCACTTTGTAATATTGCTGAAGTCTGAGGAGAGCTACAGTACCAATGTTGGAAATCCTTCCCTCTGCAGCATCTCGATCAGTTACGAAACATGCAAGAACCAATGGCAAACCAACAAATAAACAAACATAAGCATCATTTGACATTGAAAGTGAAGAAAAATGTCCAACAAACATCCAAATAAATCTACAAACAAACAAACTAACAATCAAACAAATAAATATTTTTTTGAAATTGACAGTGGTGTAGGGCTGTCAAAATGGCTGAAAACCGAAATTCGAATTTTTTACTTAAATATTATCAATATTCTAATTATATTCAAATTTAAAAGGCATAATTTCAGTTAGGGGAAAAAAAGCTTTTGGCTTCTCTCCTGAGGCCACAAGAGGGCGCATCGAGCAAAATATTATGCACGTTTCTTCAAAGCATAATAAAATAACACGACTATCTTTGGAAAAGGTGCATAATGTTTAAAATAATAAACAGGAAGGGGGCCAACACTTTTTCACACCACTGTATGTATAGTTTAATACAAAGGACCGAAAACCAATCACAAAGAGTACTTTCTTCTTTTAAAAAATTTGAGATGCAGTGGGATGGGGAAAACCGCCATAAATTCTTGACATGTTTTTTTTTAAAAGTTGAACTTACTTTTTTACTTACTCTTGTGTGAGACGCGAGTGCAACGGTAGTCTATAATGTTAGCCCATGTGTCACTGATAAATGTCCCTCTAGAAAATGTGACAAATATGCGTTCTGTGTGAACGGCTTGGTTTCGGTTTTGACGTAAACAACATCTTCCTCACATTGATTGTTCTCTTTTTCGGCAATATTTTGAATGAACAACGTAGCAGCGCCACATCTAATGGGTTCAAGTGGATAGGCTAACAAAAGCATTCAAATGCAATGACACTTACATCGTCGTTGCATTTCGTGCGCCACTGATAATACTGCCTAACGCACACCTAAAATTCGAATGCAACGTTTTTGCATTCGAATGTGGATTTTTATTTTAAATTCAATGAATATTCAAAATTAGAATTTTTTTTTGGACAGCCCTACAGTGGTGTTCCTGAAATGGGAGAAAACGGTGCCAAACCTTTGTCAAGTTTAATGAACTATGGATTTGCTAATCAAAAACTATTTGTAACTAGTCTTCAGTGTGAAGCTTTAGGATGATCTGCTGCATAATCGTCACCAAGAGAGCTGTCTGTCTGTGCTGACCTCTGTCAGTGTTTGTGGGAGAGAGCGGGGGGATGAGTATGATTTAGCTGTGCTTGGCTTTCTCTGCTTGATATTTGTCTGGGTTAAGCAACAGAAGTGGGACGAATGAAACACTCCACAAGTGTGCCAGAAATCAGACAGAAATCGAGTCCTGGTGAGCCAAAGCCAAATGTTCAGCTTTGTTGCGTGTGTGTGTCTGCTGTTAATCCTGCCTAGCTGAGGGGGGCCAGTGTGAGACTGTCCAACTGGATTACTAGTACAAGAAGGGCTATCAGCACAGAGTGGGACAGACGGTCTAAGAAATATATACACTGCCGTTCAAAAGTTTGGGATCAGTAAGAGTTGTAATGTTTTTTAAAGTAGTCTTTTCTGTTCATCATGGCTGCATTTATTTGATCAGAAATACAGAAAAAACAGGAATATTGTGATATATGATTGCAATTTAAATGAATAGTTTTCTATTTTAATATACTTTAAAATATAATTTATTCCTGTGATGCAAAGCTGAATTTTCAGCATCATTACTCCAGTCTTCAGTGTCACATGATCATTCAGAAATTATTCTTAAGTGCTGATTTATTATCAATATTGGAAACGGTTTTGCTGCTTAATATTTTTTTGGAAGCTGTGATACTTTTTTCAGGATTCTTTGATGAATAAACAGTTAAAAAGAACAGCATTTATTCAAAATAGAAATCCTTTGCAACAATATACACTACCGTTCAAAAGTTTGGAGTCAGTTATTTTTTTCTTTTTTTGAAAGAAATGAATGCTTTTATTCAGTAAGGATGTGTTAAATTGATAAAAAAAAGTGATAATAAAAACATATATTGTTAGAATTACTACTAATTATTATATAATTATATAAGAATTTATATTATTAATTACATAACTATGTCATTTATAATTATTATTTACAACAACAATAATAATGCTTTTAAGACTGTTTATTAGCTGAGCAACCAATTTGAATATTTGTACTTTAAAATAAATTCATAATTGTCAAATAATGTATGTTTATAATAATAATAATAATAATTATTATTATTATTATTATTATTATTATTATTATTATTATTGTTTATGACATGCAATTCTAATTATTATAGAAATGTATATATATATATATATACATGCAC